AATTCCCTAGCCAGCCATGCTGGCTGGGGAATTCTGGGAGTTGAAGTCCACCCATCTTAAAATGGTCAAGATTGAGAAACACTGGTGTAAGACAGGGACCATTTCCACTTGCTTATCCCAAGGAGAAATAAAGACACTAGAAATCCTGTCTCTTCCCCCCTCCTCAACCATCACTTTGCCATAAGCTGCAGCCCAGAGAAGCCCCACCCTCCTTCCAGCTGCAAGCAGATGCAAGAAAGGAACTAGTGCACTCAGGATTTTAATGCACAGCTTAGAATGTCTCACTGCCTCTCCTGCTGCCTGAGTTGGTCTTATTTTTTAAATTTTTTTCCCTAACAGCGGCGGTGGCAGCCGCTCCAGAGAGATGTCCCTCCTTATGTCCGTGTTTGGGGGCACGGCCTCCTGCCGCCTCACTTGAAGATCTTGCCCTGGTTGAAGGCTTTGCCGACATGCTTGAAATCGCCTTCCCACATAAAGTATTCTTTCACCAGATCCTTGCATTCCTCGCTGTCCGGGTCCAGCTTCCGCCAAGTGTAGGATTCATAATCCACTTGCCAGTCAGGACTCAGCTGAGAAAGAGATGGAGGAGAAAGAGAGGGTCAGGAGGGGGTGGAAAGGGGGCTGCGTCTTTCCATCTCACCGAGAACCATCACAAAAGCAGAAGGATGCGCTGGTGCTCACCAGCAACACGATGCCGAGGAGAGCACTCGGCAGGCCCTGGCATGCAAATGATCGTTTGCTGTTTGCTCAAAGAGCATTCCGGTTTGATCCTGGCCCAGAACGCAGGGGCAGGAAGCTCACTGCCAGGCCTGACTGAGGAACCGCTGCCTCGTTCCTCTCTTGGCCCCAAGCAGTAAAGAACCTGGAAGCCTGGTGCAGGCAGAGGACGAGGTCCGAGGTTCTCTGGGAGAGGCAGAACAGGGACAACAGAACAGGACCATCAGGCTGTGGGAGTGGAGTTGGTGACCTGTGGGCCTGTGCACACAGCCCTTGAGGAGCACCCTCTATGGGGTAGATTACATCTCCCATCATCCCCAGCTAGCACACCAACTCATCCCTACTTGCGTGGGCGCCGGAAGAGAGGATAAAGGGGGTTTCTGATAAATCTGCAGGGCCGCAAGCTGCTTATCCCAGTTGCAGGGAAAGGACAGGCAGCCTCGCCGCCCTGGAAGCTCTTTCTCCCTATTTAAGAGCTAGAAAGAGCCCCAGGTATGAGCCTAACGCCGCATCCTCTACGGCGGGAGGCAGGGAGGTTGGTTCAGGGGGATGAAAGAGGATTCGGGGGCTCCCCACCCACTTTCCATCACAGCCAGACAGAAAATAAATTCCCAGCATGCTTCTCAGGCAAGCAAAATGTTCCCACCTCTCCTTTTTCAGGTCACAGAATCTGTTAATTAAAATGATGATGATGATAGGAATAGTAATAAAAATCCCTGGTCAGGAGGCAAAGCTCTCGTGATAGAAAACTGGCTGGGTTCCAGTGCATTTTTCTTTCTTGCCCTCAGTCTCTGACCGAACCCCATCGAAGGTGCCGTGGGACCGTTTGATGCGCCCTCCCCTAGAGAATGCAGCAGCAACCTGAAGCCCTGCTGTTGGCCGGGGCTGAGGCCGCTGAGCTACCGGCTTAGAGAACCCGCCTGCGATACAAAAAGGTCGCCCGCCCTGGTTCCCCCGGATCCTCTTTCACTTCTCCTTTGGCAATGGCCGTGCTCAGCTGCACTTTCCCGGTT